CTATGGTATTACCATTTCTGAAAAAGCGTTCAAAAATCATTGAGATTGTTGCTGCTCGTGATATAGTCTTTGCTCTTGCACAATCTGGAGTCTGTGCTGCTTTCAGTCGAGGTACTATAAATATAATTTGGAAGTTATATAATACTCGATCTTGAAGAGTGAAGACTAATACAACATTATTATTATTTATTTGATTCAGAGACTAACCAGAGAATATGCTTTCTAAACGTCAGTCCTGATGAAGTTATAAGAAGCTTGTTTTACAATAAGAACAATGATTCACTCATCACAGTATCAGTCTATGCTTCAGACAGCTTTAGCTCCTTGAAATGCAGAACAACAAGAATCGAGTATGTTAAATGAAATCTCACTGTTCTTATGCTTTGTACTTTGTAGTATGTATGAAATTTATTATTTATATAAAAAAAATTATAAAAATTTGTGGCAGATATATACGACGAGGTCAACCTGATGCTGGTTTTGGTCTTTTTGAATCTGAATCTTTGAAATGGCCTGGTTTTGTGGAATTTGATGATGTGAATGGAAAGGTGTTGACATTTTCAGCACAAGATAGGTAAGTTTTTGACATTTTGATCCCTGTGTTCTTGCATAATCTGATTTATATTAATTTCTTTTTCCAGCATTTACAAGGTGTTTGATTTGAAAAACTACACGATGTTATACTCCATTTCGGATAAAAATGTACAAGAAATCAAAATAAGGTAAGGTTATTCGTATTCCTATATATTTACCAAGTTATTACATTTATGTGTATGTGCTAATGATATTTCTTTTTTCCATTAAAAAAAAAAAAAAAAAAAACAGTCCTGGAATTATGTTGTTGATATATAACAAAGCTAGTGGTCATGTTCCTCTCAAGATTCTCTCAATTGAAGATGGAACTGTTTTAAAATGTTTCAATCATCTTCTTCACCGAAACAAGAAGGTGGATTTCATTGAACAGTTCAATGAGAAGCTTCTTGTGAAGCAAGAAAACGAGAATCTACAGATTCTTGATGTAAGGAATTTTCCATTGCAGTTTCTTGCATTTAAAGTACACTGAAAGTCTAAAAAATTTATTTTCTTTTTTCTTTTAGGTACGCAATTCTGATTTAACGGAAGTTAGCAGGACAGAATTTATGACTCCATCAGCATTCATATTTCTTTATGAAAATCAATTATTTTTAACTTTTAGAAACCGAACAGTTGCTGTATGGAATTTTCGTGGGGAACTTGTGACATCATTTGAAGATCATTTATTATGGCATCCAGATTGCAACACTAACAACATATACATCACAAGTGATCAAGATCTTATCATTTCATATTGTAAAACCGAGTCCGATGATCCTTTAACGGAAGGAAATGGTAAATTACAAAAAAGCCCTTCTTTTCTACTTAATCTGGACAGCTATACATGTTTGTATCCTTTTGACTTAATCTGGACAGAATGACTTAATGGGCTAAGCCACCTAATTGCCCTTTTCTTTTTCCTCCCAACTCTTTGCTTTAAAATTGATGGAACATTGTGAGAAGTTGTTGAAATGTAAGGGTAAAATGGTCATTTAGTCACATTCAGACGTTTTATTACGTCATGAAAAGAAACAGACTGTACACAACACTTTATCCAGACATTCATCATTAAACAAACACTGTTTTTTGTTTGTAGTGATTAAACTGATAATACTTTGTGAACAAGGGCAAAATAGTAATTTAATTACAAGTTTACTGACGATTCTGGTGTGGTAATGCAGCAGGTTCGATAAATATCAGCAACATCTTGACGGGGAAATGTCTTGCAAAGGTGAAGGCAAAGAATGGTGTTCCTTTGGATGAGTGTAGTTGCAGTGGCAATAATGTAATTTCTAATGGAGGGTAGTGGCAGAAGTTGTAAATGTACTTCAAGGAAGAGAATTAGGGCTTCAAGGATTATGAGCTCTGTTGCAGAAGCCCTTGAGGACATTACTGCCCTTTTCTATGATGAAGAAAGGAATGAGATTTATACAGGAAATAGACTTGGGTTAGTTCATGTATGGTCTAACTGAAAAGGGTAAGGTTGTAATTTGGTAAATTGTGTGAAAAGTGAATGGTATGTGTTTTTTAGACTCAACTGTATTATCTCTGATTATTTGTACTTGAAATTGTAACTTGTTAGTTTTTAGTTTTCGGATTATATGAAAATTGTATAATTAAAGGTAAAGAGGAACTAATTAAGAGATTAAGCCAAAAAGCAAACCCAACTAATCATGAAAAGTAAAAACAGGAGAGGAGAAGAGCTCCAATCCAGAAAACTTTAACAAACCAATTAACACCCACCAAGCCAATAGTAAACACGACACAATGAAGGCAAAATTGCCAAATTCAATAAAATCTTCCAATATATTAGATATCGTGTACATGGTCCTTCATTGAATTTCATGGACATCAAATATTAGACAAGATAATATTAGTACAGGGACTAGATTGTAGCTACATGTATCATATATATCCCTTTGTATATGTTATGCGTGATAATAAGAAACACACATTTACCAAATTCAATTGTAGCTACATGTATCATATATATCCCTTTGTATATGTTATGCATGATAATAAGAAACACACATTTACCAAATTCAATATGGTATCAGAGCTAGACATTTTTTGCCTCCCTAGGGTTAGAACCCTAACCGACAATTCCAGGAAAAAAAAAACCCGCACACACACAACAACAACAACATAGGTCGATCTTCACAGTTGATTGATCATGGCGACTATTACAACCTTCTTCACAACCGAGAAAACGTCACACAACTCCCATAAGTTTCTGTTTACTTTTATCTCCTACTAATTATGGTTTTTGGAAGACAATGATCCAATCGTTTCTCGTTACCAACAATCTCTTTGAATATCTCAATGCTACTATACCATGTCCAACTTCAAATTTACCTGCAACAGAAAAAGCCACCATCACTGATCCCCAGCCAAATCCGTCTTATGTTGCTTGGATAGCCAAAGATGCACTAGTACGTATGCTTCTTCTCTTTACTATCTCTAAAGCTTCCCATCCCCATGCACAAGGTACAACATCCAGAGATCTATGGCTTTCCTTACAACGAGCCTATGCTCCTCAATCATCCTCTCGAGAGTATACTCTCAAAACACCGCTTCTTAAACTCGAGATGAAACCCAATGAAACAGCGCCCGCTTATCTCTTACGTGCTCAAGAGTATTCTGATGCGCTTGCCAACATCGGTGAACCAGTTAAAGAAAAAGACATTGTTATGCTTGTGATTTCAGGTCTCTATGAAGAATACAATGGACTTAAGCCCAACCTTCTTGCTTGACCAACCCACCACCCTCTTCCAAGTCCTTAGCGGTCTCGTTGTTGATCATGACTTTATGACCAGGAAAACCACCCCCATCGTGGCCTCTATTCAGGCGTTTGTTGCCACAACCGCCAACTGGCCCACCTCCACATCCACTCTCTTACCAACTAATCAATTGCAAACTCTTCAATAGCTTTTCAATCAACTTGGTTTACCACCAAACTCATTCCCTTCCTCAAGTCCTCAAGCGTTTTACATCGCTCGCCCTCCAGCTTCTTGAGGTCACAGATTCAACAACATACGAGGCCGGGAAGCTTCTCCCATTCATCAGGGGGAATCAGACACAATTTCCTTGGACTTCTATAAAAAATATAGTTTTTGGCACATGTAATCGGTGCAGTATTAGGCACATTCCTTCACAATGTCCCAATCGAGACCCTAATACCATACATACTCGCTCACAAATCACTGCCAACTTTGCAAAAAATCAATCTCAAACTACCACATGGCTCCCTGATATTGGCTCAAGCAACCATGTATCTTACGATCTCTCCTCAGTAGACATTCACACACCTTACTTTGGTGACGATACTCTTCACGTTGGCAGTGGTATGGGTTTACCTATTCTTCATATTGGTTCTGCTCATTTTTATTCACCCTCAAAAACGTTTTCGTTATCCAATATTCTTCACGATTTGGAAATTAAAAAGAATCTTCTTTCTGATCAAAAGTTTAGTTTAGACAATAATGTTTTCTTTGAATTTCATTCCTTTTTTGTCTGAAGGACAATATTACCAAAATTAGCCTCCTCATAGGTCGAAGTGACAATGGGCTCTACGATATCCATCTTCCATCCTTCCATTGTCTTCCCAAAGTTGCATACACTACTTCTAGAGCTTCTTCTGATATTTGGCATCAACGGTTGGGGCACCCTCATTCACAACTTTTGAATTTTATATGTTCTAAATATGGTCTTCCTGATTCTAACAAATCTCCAGATTCTATTTGTAATTTATGTGATATGGGAAATCCTTAAAACTTCATTTATCTACTTCCAGTTTTAATAGTAAACATCATTTAGATCTTGTTGTTTGCGATGTTTGGGGTCCGACCTTGGTTACCTCCTCTGATGGTCATACCTATTTCTTAGTTTCTGTGGATGATTTTTCTTGTTTTATGTGGATCTTACCTCTTAAATGCAAGTCAGATGTTTTGATGTATTTAAACAATTTCTTGCTGTAACTGAATGAAAGTTATCTACCAAAATCAAGGCTATTCAAACTGACTGGGGTGGTGAATTTCGTAAGCTTCACAATTTCTCTAACTCCCTTGGCATTGTTCATCACCTCTCTTTCCATCACACAAGTGAACAAAATGACTTAGTTGAGAGGCGACATCACCATATAGTCAAAATCGGCTTGACCTTACTTGCTCAATTGAGGGTTCCAAATACTTATTGGCACTTTGCCTTTGACACGACGGTCTATCTAATAAACTAAATTCCCTCTCATATCACTTCCCATGTCTCACCATTTGAGACCATCTTTATGCGTAAACTAGATGACTCCTTTCTTAAAGTTTTTGGGTGCCAATGCTTCCCTCATCTATGACCCTACATGCAACACAAAAATGGATTTTTGGTCCATTTATTATATTTTTCTCGGTTACAACTCATCTCATCACGGGTACTTGTGCCTTGATCCTACTACAGACAAGTTATACATATCTCGACATGTACGTTCTTATAAAACTCCATTCCCTTTTTTAGCATCTAAACTTGTGTCGTCTGAAACACCTCCACGTGATCCTTATATGTCCACTTATCCATTCCCTACTATACCTGACCTCGACCTTCCAACCCGCACCTTACCCAATGCCAAGCCTTTTTGCACCTATGAACGTCAATGACGACGCTTTTTTGTTCACAATGGTGCATCAACAGTCACAAATAAGGCCACATCCCCCCTCCATGGCCCAAACAACTCCTATCAAGGCCCAAACATCCCCTTCTAAGGTTCCCACAGTCCCTACTGCAACCTCATTTGTTGTTCGGTCTCGTCCAACAAATTTGTATCCAAACCCAAACCAAGTGCAACACTTTACACCTTCGGCCTTTCATGCGTCCATTACTTTCGAACATGAGCACACAACCTTATCTGCTGCAATTAAACATCCTCAGCGGCAACAAGCAATGGCTAATGAATATGTAGCTCTTATTCACAATGGGACTTGGACGCTTGTTCCTCCTAAGCCTAACTCTAATATTGTTGATTGCAAATAGGTCTATAAAATTAAATGTGATCAGATGTAACGCCCGTGTTTCTAGGCTAAACATTAAATGATGATGTAATAGTCTAGGTCAACATTTGTAATTTGTTTTGAAATAATAAAGATGTATTATTTGATTATTATGTGTTTATTGCTTAATTATTATGATTTTGATAAGTTAAGAATAAAAAATAAGCGTCGAAATAAACGTTAGATAAAACCCGATATCTATGAAGAAAGTTGTAGTGGTTGAAACAAGGATTCCGGAGATATAAAGAATACCGAAATCCGAGTTATAACGAAGAAGTTATGACGTGTCGAAGTTTCGCGACAGAACCGACACAATACTGTGTGACGTAAAAAGTGAAATTACGATAAAGTGCTTTTTAGCCTTAGCAATCTAAATGAAAGTTTTAATATGCATTAAAATGAGAGCATGCATAAAAAGAATGTCTAAATCTGACTTCGTATAAGGAAGTTATGAATTTTTTTAAGATTTGGCATAGCAGTATGCAGTCCAAAACTCGAATTTTAGATCGAGTGATTTTTAGTCGAAACAACCTAAACAAGAATCGAAGATCTTGTAAATAGTTGTTCAACCATAGAAAGACAGACAAAAATACACGTCGGATGAAGAAGTTATGAATTTTTAAACGGACTGTTCCTGTCCCGGCCTGTTAAAAATATAACTTTATAAAAAAAGTCAAAATTAGCCAACAGAGTCTAAATGAAATTTATAGAGCATAATTTCACCTACGCGTGGATATAAAGAACATCAAAAACTGAGTTCGTATGTGAAAGTTATGAATTTTTGAAGTTTTGGGCACAAACTTTGAGGTTGGTCCGGGGGAGTACGCCCAACGTACCGAAGGAGTACGCCCAGCGTACTTGTGTAAGTGTTCACAGTCCGAGATTGGCCACGTAGCCCTACTCCTTCGCGTGTGAGCCATGGATCATAGCCTTGACGCGTCCGAGAAAATCCACTTCGTACGCCCAGAGTATGAAGTTATGCCCAACGAAGACTTATGCGAGGCAGTACGCCCCACGTACCTGAGCTGTACACCCCACGTACTAAGGTGCTTCGGTCTCCTATAAATAGGAACGAAGCTAGCTGAAGTAATGTTAGAATTTTTGCTCCTTTCACCCCTCTACTTTCTTTTTACCTACTCTAAATACCCCTAACCCTAATATATCACCCTAGCATCATAAGCAGTCCCGTAGAGCCCGAAGATCCCGAGAAAAATAGTTTTCGAGTCGAAACTCTGTGAACAAAACCCACAATCACTAGAAGATACATACATAGTAGAAATGGAAAATGGAAAAGTAGAGCGCACAAATGATAT